TCTATCTATCATCTGTCTGTCTATCTATCATCTATCTGTCTGTCTGTCTATCTATCTATCATCTATCTGTCTATCATCTATCTATCTATCTATCTATCTATCTATCTATCTATTATCTATCTATAATCTATCTATCATCTATCTATCTATCTATCTATCATCTATCGATATATTTAAAGCAGATCAAACTCTATAAGACAAATACAACTTACATTGTATGGGCTGTCCTGGATTGGTGGCAATTCCTGGCATTGTCTTGCCTTCCGAATTGACACAGAAGCAATTTCTTCCTTGGCACTGAACCGTCAAGAATTTCCCGTCCAGGGTACAGGAAGGAACAAAGAGCTCAGATCCCGCAGGCTGACTTCTTTTCAAGCTCTGCAGACTTTCCCTTTGCTTTTCACACAGCGTAGGACACTTTGGACGTGTGCCGTGAACTCTGGATCCGGAGAGTTCCTTACCGTTGGAATCCACACACCAGCAGTCCCCTGCATAGCACTGGATTTCCTTGTACCTCCCGGCTTCGGTGCACTCCGGGACAAACAAACTCCTGGCCCGCCCCTGGCAGTCTTGGGAGCTCAACACTATTTTTGCAATGTCCCCTAAGTCCTCAGCAATGCTTTCGGGGATGGAGATCACCTGCTGCAAAAACGATAAAAACTCCGGCGTTTCGAGGAGGGAAGCGAGAAATTTGACCAACTTCTGACCGTCTTGCAGATTAACAGTCTGGCCCAAACTGTCCAGAAGAGGCCGGCTCAAGTTGACCTTAGGAGCTTCCAACAAAATCTGTTGCATCGTTTCGGCAAATCCACCACTTGTCCCGCTCTGCTGGAAAAACCGTTCCAAATTAAATTTGCTGTTTGTGCCAATGGCTCCGGTGAAGTTAAACTGGACCAAATTCTTTAAGAACTCCCCTCCGAAAAGGTTTTCTTGGAACCGCTTGGGGTTGCCGGTGAACCGGAGGGCCACTCGAGCAAGTTCTCTCGAAGGAAACATCCCCCTGATAGCCTCGCTAAGGACAGATCCGAGTGCGAGCAGCTGAGAAGCATCTGACACGTCTGTGACAGATGACAGCAACCTAGAATCCACAAACAGTTCCTTCAGTGATGGTGGACAAGATCTTGAGAACCCGGCTATCTTCTGGGTCTCCTCATCAGCAGTGAACAAATTGTGCTGGCCAAAGTGTCCAGTGGGTCCATAGAAAAGGGTAGAGAGTGCTCTTTGTCTCTCAGAGAGACAGGCATGTTCCTCACCTAGACAAAGGAAAAAGGTATCAGATACAATTATCTTTCCAACCAGATAAAGAACATGCCATGTTGGGTCAGGCCCAGGGCTATTTGGGGGCAGGAACGCACAGGTACGGAGTTCCGGCTGGCTCCCAAGTTGGCCACGCCCAGCAGGATGTCATTAGCATAATAGGCCACACCTGACAGCAGAAACTCATTAGGATTGGCTACATTAGGGGTGTGTGGCCTAACATGCAAAGGAGTTCCTGCTACAAAAAAAAAGGCCCTGGGTTTTCACAACAAACAAGGTAAACAATAAGAAGCAAAAGGTGGGTGTGGCTGGATGACCATACTTCTGGTAACGTGGGTGTGGCCTGATATGCTAATGAGCTATGCTGTCAGGGGTGTGGCTGGATATGCTAATGAGTTCCTGTTGTTGGGTGTGGCCTATTATGCTAATGAGTTCCTGCTGGGCTTTTCCTACAAAAAAAGCCCTGGTCAGGCCAGTGGCCCATCCAGTCCAACACTCTGTATCACACAGTGAGCAAAACCCTCAATATCAACACCAACTTAATAAGCAACAGCCTGACGAAAAGCCAGCCTGAGGCGGTAGTTGATTAAAAAAAACCAGAACTCCAGAAGCCCCTCCCACTGTTGCCACTCAAGCACCAAGAATACAGAGCATCACTGCCCCAGACAGAGCGTTCCATCTATACCTTGTGCCTAACACAGTAGAAAAGGGTAAGAGTCCAGTCGCACCTTAAAGACTAACAAAATTTGTGGCGGGGTGTGAGCTTTTGTGAGTCACTGCTCACGTCTTCAGCTACAGCTAGACTGTGAGTCCATCTGTCCTGTGTATTGGAAAGTGGAGTGATTTCAGATGCCGAATGAAATTAGCAGGCAATTGACAATAGGAGGTGTGATTGGATTAGGCGTGATATGCTCTAATTTATTTACCATAGAGATAAGGGGCAAATCCTAGAGAGTCACCCAGAACTGACATCACAACCTGGCCGGGCACCGCCCTTGAAAGCTCCCAGCATTTTCATAGGCAGTGCTGGAAACCCATGTGACATCAGTGGCGTCTGTTCGTTTACCTGGAAGAACGAAAGTGAGGCATTGCTGTGGCCAAGCTAAACTTTGCTACACAGCATCACCCTCTTTTGACAAAAGGATTATAAGACGGGTCTCACAGATCTCTTCTGCAAGAAAAGGCTTTTTCCTGCGACAGAAGGAACTTCCCTCAGCCAAAGGAAAGCCCATCCACTTAGAGATGCCAACTCTGGGGTTGGGAAATTCCAGGAGATTTGGAGGTGGAGCCTGGGGAGACCTGAATTTGGGGGAGGGAGGGAGCTCAGTCGGGAAGAGATGCAACAGAGTCCACACTCCAAAAAAAAGCTGTCAAGGGGAATGGGACTCTGGCAGGCCCCTAGCTACAGTGGGGCATCTCGGGGCTAGGTCCCCCAGTCTTACTGGGAAGGCCCCACAACTTCCCATCCAGCCCAGGGCGCCTGAGCGGCGGTGAGTGCGGGGAAGGAGCCGGGTATTCCTACGCAGCTGCCTGGTTGCAGTGCAGAGCCAGAGAGCACCTCTCTATTTCCCCCAGAAAGTCTATATAACTTAAATTAAATCACCTCTAATTTGATTAGCTAGTGCCCCCCTAGGAAATTTAAATGCCCCCCAACTAAAAAAGAATCCTGGATACACGCCTGATCTCTGGCATCTGCGAATCAGAGACAATTCTGGAAGAACTTCAGGACTTACCTCGAGGTTGGCAACCTAGGCTTGCCATTCCCCCCGGTAGGGTGGGGGTTTGCCCGCTTTTAAGGCCCCCGATCCACCAGTTGGGGGGAACCCCGCCCCCAAAGTGCCGTGATCGGACCAACGTGCAAGTTGCAGGAGGACACTCTATCATTTGAGGGGAAACCCTATGGTTTTCGCTCGAATGATAGAGGCCCTGCCCACAATGCACTGTGTGCGATGATGTCACTCCCAAAGAGGATGAAGACCCTCCCCCCCGTCAGCAGCCAGGTAAGACCGGGCAACCCCATGGCAACCATACATCCACTAGCAGTAATAGATCTGCAGAGGATCCAACCTTATACTTGGATGTTCTCAAGAGAAAAACAATGTGAAGACTAGGAGATTCAGCAGATCTTCTCCAATTGTCTAATTTTACGTACCACATGGCGGACGCTGCCCTTGACTCCTGGTTCCCAAGATCTCTTGCCCACTGGAGTCCACGCACCAGCACTGGCCGTCCGTCTGGCACTGCGTTGGTTCATAGGCACCATTCTCCTCACACGATGGCCTATACCTGTGTTGGAAACGAACCGCTGAGAACCTCTCTGTTTCACACTTGGAGGGGCCTGCAAGAGAAGCAGAAGTGGTCAAGGGCAGAGAGGTCGCGGGAGAGATTCTCATTCAGCTGTATTGTTGTCCAACCCATCCTACTGAAGGTCAGCAAGAGGCTTGAGTCAGCTGAGCCGATCGGTGGTGTCCCATTCAATGCAAGTCTCTCCTCTTTGGTAGATCAGGAAACGACATGGGGTACCAAGTAGGACTGTACCAGAATATACATGGAACACATGAAGCTGCCTTGTACTTAATCAGATACTTGGGTCCATCAAAGTCAGTATTGTCTACTCAGACTGGCAGCAGCTATCCAGGGTCTCAGGCAGAGGTCTTTCACATCACCTCCTACCTGATCCCTTTTAACTGGAGATGCCGGGGAATGAACTTGGGACCAGCCAAGTTTTGTTCAGGTACAAGCTCTCCCTCCTCTGCGAGGACAGATCTGCATGTCCCCCCACCCCCAATAGCTAGCAATCCAAAACAGTCCAGTGGAGCCTGAGCGGCGGGTTTTGAAGAGAAGAAAAGAAGAGATTAGATTTATACCCTGCCCTTCACTTGGAGTCTCAGAGCGGCTTACAAACTCCTTTCCCTTCCCCTCCCCACAACAGACACCCTGTGAGGTGGGTGGGGCTGAGAGAACTTTGACACAAACTGCTCTTTTTCAAGGACAGCTGTGCCAGAGCTTGTGACTGACCCAAGGTCACATCAGCAGGTGCAAGTGGAGGAGTGGGGAATCAAACCCGGGTCTCCCAGATTAGAGTCCGCATACTTAACCACTACACCAAACTGGCTCTCAGTGTGCCTTCTGACACACTTGCAGTGATATCAGGGGGTGTGGCATATGCAAATAAGTTATGCTAATGAGTCATGCTAATGAGGTCCTGCACCTCTTTTTCTACGAAATGACCCCTGGCCATAAGGACAACAGCAATGATGCACTATTGATTAGGAAAGGGTTTTGGGAGACTCTTAGGAGCCCATCCCACCTTGACCTGGAAGAGATAAAGGCAAAGACCAAGAATTTCCACATCTTGCCTCTGCTCATCTTGGGAATCTCCAGAAGTGGTGGTGGACCATCTGCTGATGATGATGGACCTCGGCAAATGCCTGACCTTGCTGCCCTCTGGACTGTGCCCTAAGCTAGCCAGCGATTCCCGCTGCCTACAAACTGCCATGGAGGCGCAAGGCGCGAAGTGCCTGGGTCACGCTGCCAGAGGTGGTGGGTCAAGACAGCATGGATCCTGACACGGACCCTGACATTCAGCCTATGAGCCTACTGTGTTTTCTGAATGTTGTTACTTACATCTGAACCTGCCTGAGGTCATCAGCCGCACTCCCAAGAAACGCCTCTGCAGGATCCTGAACATGCTGGTTTCACTGAAGGTTTGGGCAGGCTCCGTGGATGCAAAAATGGCGTCATAAATATTGTCGAGTAACATCTCCAGGCCTGGGAGAGAAAACAGCATTTCGGATCAAGATCCTGTTCCTGGAGATGTCTTCCTTTGAACCAAAATACTCAATTGCATCGGTTATTGTACGCAGGGGTCATTTCCGACAGGAGCGCATAGGAGCGGAGCTCCGGCAGTAAAGAGCCCGGAGGGGGGGAACATACAACAAGCCCCACCCCCTGCTCCCAGCAGCCCTCAGTCAGAGCAAGAAGCAGCCAGGTACGTTGCAGAGCCCCCCCCCCCGGCCCCCAGGTCCAAAACAGTCCAGTGGCACCTTTAAGACCAAGTTTTATTCAGGTACAAGCTCTCCCTCCTCTGCAAGGACAGATCTGCATGTTCCCCTCCCCCCAATAGCTAGCAATCCAAAACAGTACAGTGGAGCCTGAGCAGTGGATGTTGCCTTCTGACACTTCCGGTGATGTCAGGGGGTGTGGCATATGCAAATAAGTTATGCTAATGAGTTATGCTAATGAGCTCCTGCACCTCTTTTCTACGAAATGACCCCTGATTGTATCACTTTGTACCGCATTTCTCCCCAGCTCAAGCTGATTACATGTTGCATTGCATCTTTGCACCCTCCCTTCCCTCTCTGCCTGTAATATAAACCTATTATTACGAGTCCTGTCCTCTGCTGCCAAGAGGAACAGCTCCCTCGGCCAAGATACCCTGAAGTCATGCCTTGCAAATGTGAACACACACTGGAAAACCAGAACAACTCTCAATCAATGCTCCTTCTAAGCTGTGGTGTCTTCTGAGCAAGAATTCTACTTTGTGAGCTACTGGCATTAAAGTCGTGAGTGAGCGGTTTGGCTACTACATCAATTAGTTTGCTTCGGAGCCATCCTTCCTGAGTGAAGACCCAAATGTGTGAGCCGGAGGCTAAAAAACTGTGAGCTAGAGCACGCTAACTCAGCTTAGAGGGAACACTGCTCTCAATATCAGCTCCAATAAATTCAAATTCTGAAAACCCAAAAGTGAAATTAAATAGATTTGCATTTTGTGCACTTCCCCCAAACTGAATAATTAAAAAAAAATCCCTGTCCTCGCTGAATGGTGGGAATTCACCTGATTTCAAACATCACACGGCATTTTGATTTCCGATTTCGTTCTAATCTGGGTACCTAAGAGATAAGACATTATCATGCACATAGCAGACTTCCCTTGTGAATTGCACAGATTCATTTCAGAACTGCTACCTGAAATAGAAACTGCTGTGCTATTCAGAGATTCAGAGTTCAGCCCCGACAGGGCGAATTTGCACTATTTCTCTCCTCTGCAAAGGGTTCCCATGACCGAAAGACGTGAACATTCAAAGCAGACCGGAACACATTTCAACACATGACGCCAATGAGCCGAAACTGACAATAATTTATAACAACCGTCAATTGTTCGCCTAACAGTTAAGAGTTTACCGAAAAATCGAATAAGCTGGTCTCTGTCCCCAAATTATTGTTCAAGATTATTATAAATCCACCTTGAATATGTACTTTAAATAGGACAGGAGATTCTATAATCATTCTAGACAAGTAAACTAAATAATAAGGAAGGGAGAATGAACCACCAGAAAATACAGCAACAAAAAGAAGGAACTGAGGATGTGTTATATAAATGCCAGAATACCTTGGAATACAGTTGCAAAGCATTTATTTGAACCCAGGTTGCCAACTCCAGGTTGGGAAAGATCTGGAGATTTTGAGGGGCGGAGCCTGAGGAAGGTGGGGTTCGGGGAGGGGAGGGACTTTGATGGGGAATAAGTCCACCTTCCAAAGCGGCCATTTTCTCCAGCTGAGCTGATCTCTGCTGCCTGGAGATCGGTTGTAATCCCGGGAGATCTCCAGACACCACCTGGAGATTGGCATCCCCAATCCTTAGTCGTTCATTAATATTATTAACAATGTAGAAGTCCTTCACGTCATAACAGCACTTTGAATTTTTGTCTCTGCGAATAACAGGCAACGCAGGGAAGAAATACCTGCCTACGGTGGGGGAGGGACGTAAGAATCGAGGTGCCCAAGACTGGCACCTTAAAAACTGGCCAATGGAGAGGAAGCAGGCCAATCTAAGAAGAGCAGCCTTGAGCCTACACAGAGTTCCTTTCCGTCACTATGTAATCATCAAAGTGAGCAGCGAGAAAGGGATCCTATATTGGGGTCTCGCATTCCAGTAGGGTTCCCCATTTGCTCACATGGCGGGAGAACTCCAGCCAATGGCAGCCTTTGCCTGCCAATGCTCGGCTGATCGTCAGGCCGAAACTGGGGTCATAGAGTTTCTGGGGATTGCTAGAGCTACTCTTGTCACTTCCAGGTAGCTCTGGGAATCGCCAGGAACTCTATGGTCAGAACTTCCTGTAAGTAGCTGGGGGTCTTATTTTTGTTTTTAAATTTTTATCCCAGGATGCTGCCTCCCACAAACTACCTGCTTGGTTGCCTGGCAACCCAGCCTTCCAGTGAGGCTTGTATTCTGGAAGCTCTCAGTTAAGCCCTGCCTAGAAAGCAGGGGATGAATGTAAGTTTGGGAAGGATGGAAAGGCCAGTGACAGCAGGATCCTACCACTATTAGGGTTGCCAGCACTGGTTTAGAACATAAGAACATAAGAGAAGGCAATGATAGATCAGGCCAATGGCCCATCCAGTCCAACACTCTGTCACACAGTGGCCAAAATACCAGGTGCCATCAGGAGGTCCAGCAGTGGGGCCAGGACAATAGACGCCCTCCCACTGTTGACCGCCCCCCCCCAAGCACCAAGAATACAGAGCATCCCTTGCCCCAGACTGAGAGTTCCTATCTATACCTTGTGGATACTTCTAAAGGAACTGAACGTCAGGAACGCTTCAGGGAATCTACAAGGGAAACCAACATGTTACGGAGCACAGAATTTGCAACCCTTCTCCGTGTTTCTACAGGAGGTATCTGAAACCATCAAAACATCATTTGTCATTAG